AGTAGAACTAAAACTGAATACATGGAATGTAATTTTAGTAGTAATAGCTCTAGTGACAGAAGTGTGACTTTGGGTGATCAAATTATTAAAAGGTGTGAACGATTTAGATATCTTGGGTCCGTTGTCCAAAGCGATGGTGATATAGATGGGGTGTTAATAGTAGAATTCAAGTTGGTTGGTTGAAGTGGAGGAATGCTTCGGGCCTTTTGTGTGATAGAAAAGTACCGCTAAGACTGAAAGGAAAATTTTATAAGACGGTGGTGTGACCTGCAATGCTCTATGGCGCTGAATGTTGGCCTTTAAAAGAGAAGCATAATAATAAGTTAAGTGTTGCCGAGATGAGAATGATTAGGTGGATGAGTGGCTTTACACTTAGAGACAAAATGCGGAATGAATATATTCGTGATAGGGTTGGTGTTGCTCCTGTGACAGACAAAATTAGAGAAAGTCGTCTTAGATGGTTTGGTCACATTAAACGTCGACCATCTGATGATCCGATTAGGAGAGTAGATGTTTTAGATTCGACTTGTGTTAAGAAAGGCAGAGGTAGACCTAGGAAGACTTGGGCTTATTGTATTAAAAATGATCTTAATTTACTAGAACTAAATGAAAATATGACACTAAATAGGACGCAATGGAGAAAAAGGATTCATGTAGCCGACCCCACGTAGTGGGATTAAGGCTTTGTTGTTGTTGTTGTTGTTGTTGCTCAATGTTTCCCATAAGCACAAAACCTTATGGCTAATTACCCCTCCCGATAATGGGAGAAACACTTTCGATTAATGCTAGTCATTATGAATTGAAAATTGAACATACATTAGCAGCATACTTAGGATTTAAATTGTAGAATTCACCACTTGAAGCTTTAAAGAGGATGGTGATGGAATGAAGACGAAACCCGATCAAGATCCCATGGTTCAGCCATCTCCGGTTGTCGTGTCCCTGATCTACTTAGTCAGAGGAGGTGACCAACCCAACCTGACATAATGATCCTTATCAACAGCTATGGATTGTGTCATCCAAAAGAACCTTGTAGATCTGGGGTGGATGTTTGCCTAAGGGACAAATTTAAGTTGACATTAGCTGACATAAGACTTTATGTCAATCAATTGTACCTTTATGATTCACAACTCAAAGTGTAGAAAGTTATCGGGGAACATATGGGTTGCGACTATAACTGTAATATAATGGTATTATTTAGCGGCAACCACTCAATCAAAGTGCTATGATCGTAACTGCTATTTTGTGGTGTCAATTGACGACAAAACCACATAGACATAGGACTAAGGTCACGTCCTTACTAGCATGCAATTGCTTTGATTGTGAATATATTGACACCCTTGATATCACATTTGCAAACTCTTTCTGAGTTGAGGTCAATAAGAAATTTATCACCATCGACAAACTGTTGCGGAGGGTGGATAGATTTTGCTTTTAGCTTTTAGTGATTTATTTTAAATTGAATATTTTCGTTGGTTATTTTGAAAATTTTTATTTAAGAAATTGACTTGCGGAGGGTGGATAGATTTTGCTTTTAGCTTTTAGTGATTTATTTTAAATTGAATATTTTCGTTGGTTATTTTGAAAATTTTTATTTAAGAAATTGACTAATTTGGTTGAAATTTTTTATCAACACGACAATCATCAAAGAATTACACATTTAAAGCATTTATCTTTAAAATAGAACATTTAATTTTGTCAATTTAGACTTTCATGATATGAGTTTTATCGACTCCTGTCCTTATAAGGAGAAGGATCGGACTATGTGATTTATTTTAGAATTTGGACATTTATTAGGGCTTACTAGACTCATCAACTCTAGTTCTTACAAGAAGGAAGATGAGATTAGTAGAGTGATTAGGACTTGTAAATTCTTATATTATGATTTGGACATTTATTAGGGTTCTTTGGACTTGTCAACTTCAGTCATTGCGAAAAGAATGATTGGATTAGTGGGGTGAGACTTACAACCCTATCATATCGACAAGACGACCTGATTAGCCCGCGCAGTATTCTCGAACATAGTATTTGAACATTTAATACATTGGATGGAGCACATGCAGACATTTAAATTTCAAATATTTGAATATCTTTTTATAAGCTTTAAAGACTTGCATGAATTTTAAGTTGTGAACATAATATGAATTTTACAAAAAATCTCAAGTGGAACACTTCTAAGTCTTGAGGATGGTCTCATATTTCACGGCATCACATTTAACTTAAGGAATAACCATGAGTTTTTTATATAATTTGAAGTCGTTTGGAGCATAAAACATTTCAAAAGTATTATGATTTTATACTTTTAAAAAGGAACAGTCTTCTATTTGCTAACATATCTGTTGTGAATCTGGTGGCTGAAGGCGATTAATTGCAAATTTTTAATAAAGTTTCATATTTGAATTATGTTTCACTCTCCCCTAAGAGCCTAAGCCTGAACAATTCAATTTTGAATTGATTTCCAAGCTATAGGAGTTAAAGTCTGAAAAGCTGAATTTTTAAAATATTTTTAAATTTATGAGCTCAAGTTTTAAAATCCAAATCTTAGTATCTTAAACTTCGAAAATTTATATTTTTAATAGCCCAAAATTTTAAAACTTTTAAAATCTTAAGAGCCTAAATATTTAAAAGCCCAGATTTTAAAACAATTTTAAGCCCAAAGAGTCTATATTTTAGAAGCACAAGACTTTAAATTTTTTTTAAATCCTAAGAGCCTACATTTCAAAAGCTAAAATTTTTAATTTTTTAAAATTTCAAATGATTCATATATTTTTAAAATTTTTTAAGCCCAAAAAAATCCAAAAATTTCTTATTTATATGTCCAAAATTCACCAAAAAATCCGGCAACCTTACATCGTCAACCCCCGTTTGGGGGCACCAGAGGATGTCAACCTTCCCAACTATCTTAAGAGACGAGTTGGTCAGTGTCATGAGACATTGTGGCCCGGGAGCAAAAGTGTAAATTTAAACCGCGATCTTAAAAGACATAAAAGGGCTTCATTGTGCCTTCACAAAAAGATTAGCTCGCAAACTAGCATTTCCTGAGTAGTGCTTTGTTTTCTCCGAATGTGACTCAATTCCCTATGGACGGGTACTCACTTTCCCACGAGCGAGTATTTCAAAATCACTATCTTTTAAAAATATTTTCCAAATGAGTCTGCGTTATTCCTTGAATAATATTAATTTCCCCACGAACAGGTACTCACGGTTCCACAAATGAATTTTTTGAAAATTATCTAATTTTGCTCCCACAATTTTTACCTTTCAAGCCTAACGACCTTGACGTCAACGACTGAATAACAAAACATTACAACACAAATTTCTTAACATAAACACTTAAAAAAAAATGCCTCGAGTAGGGAAAAATAGTCGGGCTGGGCTTGAATAATAACAGGGGGTTCAATGTGAATGCTAGGGCAAGGTCACTGGCTTCCATAGTTCCATCCAAAAAGAATCAAGCGGAGGAAAAGGAGGAGAGGTAGGGAGGAGAGCTCGGGTTTCCAGGGTCGGGTAGGATAAGAAGCATGCAGAGGCAGAGCTTCCTTTCCTAAGGTAGAACAGAGATTTTATCGACTTCGGTACTGTTGACCTCAATTTTCGTGAGGTCTAGTTTTTCTCGTAGGAGTTAGGATCTAGCCTTAGGGGTCTTCCTGCGATTATCTTAGAACCTTAGAAGTGGTGCCCGCCTCGTTTTAGTTCGACCTATTTCCGTCCTCTTTTGTGGTTCCAAGTGTGTGGTATCGACTTCTAGCATTTAGAAGGGTGAAACCAACATGAGGAAACCCAAAAGGGACCCCTATAGGACCTTTTTGAGCCTTAGGGTGGCCTTCTGCACAATTCGCACTCCCGCGCGCACAAACTTCGCAATTCGGAGAGTCGACACGTCCGATCGCCATAATTCACATCGCTTGCACTGTTACCCGTCGAAGACCCGAATGAAATTTTTGAGACAATCGATCGCGGGTCAATATTTTTGTGAAATTTGAATTTCGACGCGTTTTTGACCCGACCGTCGACGACGTCGTCCGAGCGACCCCGGATGACGAAACGGACTGCGCCAACGCGTCCGGAACGTCAATTTTGCCTAGGGAGGACACCTATTTTGTCGCATCGTCGTGCGCGGGTAAAATGTGTTTTAATT